TTGTGCTTGCCCAGAAAACTTACCCCACCATGTCAATGTTAGGAATTCCCGGTAAAACTTAGCTTTTGAATTGTTTTGGTGGGTCAATTTGCTGGGGGCGACCAAAGCAATGGAAACCGCACAGTCTTGACATGACAAATTTTGAACACATAGTCCCAACTGGATACTGCTTCAGAAGCCAATCGTTTATTCGTAAATTGATACCATCCAATGGGAGCTTTGGTTTGTTTCTTCTACCAACTGTTGTCTTCTGAAATCTGGCCCCACCAAATCTCGGAAAAGGTGTTTCCATGCTTTATTGCTCCGTTGGGTCCCATGCCTCAGGGCTCTCACGGGTCAACCCAGACAACTTAGCGGGACATTTCCTCCCAACACTCTGAAATCCAGTTGGGCCTTGGCATGTAGTGCGCCTAGTCCAAGGGCGACCTCAGAACGCGAGAAAAACAAACAGGGGTTTAACGTAATGTCTTTGTGTAGGCTTGTGTATCGATTGAGAGGACACGAAGAAGTAGAGAAGGAGAAGTGAGAAACCAATTGGCCAAACGTTGGGGCTGCAAAATCTATTTTTGCCACTGCGCGTAGATCAGCTTCTGACACAGCACGCTTCCACAGGAAATTCACAGGTTAAGATCAACAGTCCATGATCATCCCGTGTTTGGGTGGAGCGTGGCAAGATTCAAGATTAGTAGCTTATGCTAATGTAGACATAAGCTCAATGACCCCTGGAAACCAAAATGCCTGAGGTCCTTGACTCTCAGACAAAGAAAGCTTTACGCTTTCACCTTCACCCTCACGTGTGAGCACCAAGCTTGCACCACTAGTCCTCCGCAGCCCCAGGAACTGCTGCTTCGTCTGCAGGAGCCTCGTTCAAAGATCCTGGCAGGGCAAGCGAGACAGGGAAGGGCAATGATGCCTAACTGCCCTAACTGTGCTTGATTGTGTGGATCCTTCCACCGGAAACCCCCAAGTAAATAATGTATGTATGTATATATATATATATTTATTTATTTACTTATTTACTTACATATTTTTGAAATCATACAGTCATTGTTATTTACTATACACAGGGATAATACACAAGGATGTATGTAAACTTGAAAGCCATTGACAGGAGTTGAGGGTCGACGGTACTTCTCGGACACATGCAAGGCAGCATGCTTGAAATCGAGGTAGGTGTGGCAATCTTCGAAGCTGGGATCGGCCAAGCACATCTTCCAAAATGGATCCTCCAAAAGGGGAATAGTTTGAAACAATATAAGTGGGAAAACCTTAGCAAAGGAACCCGGGGGGAGGGGTTCCTTCGTGGCAATTTTCGTAATCTTGTTTGGTAGGTTTCACTGGAATCCTGGAAGATGTCGTGTGCTTTTGAAATTTGTACATCTCATCTGCAAAAAGAGAGCAGTCCAAAACAATCAAAATGAATCACCAACAAATTTGACAAATGAATAACCGTAAACCCCCACCATGGGAACAATTGGGCCCCAAGAAAAATTACCACCGAACGTGGAAAAGTCCATGATGTTATATAAATATATAACCCATGAAATTTCAAATCCTGATGCGACGACTGCTTCTCCAAAAGGTTCTTCAACTCCGACTCAAAGACATCCCGGATGGCTTGCCATCGGTAGTAAGCCCACCCATCCCTGCGGGTCGGCGGCGGGCGACGGGCGAAGCTCACATCTCCACCCTCGGAACGCTTTCGCTTCGGCTTGGGCTCCACCTCGGGCCCCTCAGCGCTGGCAACATCTTTGAGGTCTTTGGTCTTGGGAATCTTGGGCTCTGACTTGGTTGTTCCAGTCCGAACCTTTCTGGCTTTGCGAGTCTTGCTGGGCTCTGTCACTTCCTCTGTCTCCACATGTTCCTCGCCATCGCCATCTTGGTTGGACTCTGGCTGTCGTGCTGGCTTCGCAGCTTTCACTTTGGTCTTGGCCTGGGCCGCAGCCTTGGCTTTCGCCTTGGCTTTCGCCTTGGCGTTCGCCTTGGCTTTCGCCTTGGCTTTCGCCTTGGCTTTCGCCTTGGCTTTCGCCTTGGCTTTCGCCTTGGCGGCAGGCTTCCCAGGCTTGGTCTCCGGAGATTCACCTTCATCCTCACCCTCACCGTCGTCAGGCATGTTGCCCGCGCTCTGCAACTGATCCTGCCTCGAAATGGCAGGTACCTGCAGCGGCGCCAAGGAACAAATAATTCAACATGCGAGAAGCTGGAATGAACAACCGCTCAGAAACAAACCAAGTAGTAAGGAAAGAAGCTATGTTCTTGCTTGCCAATGCGCCGGACCTGCCAAAAGATCTGGCTTCTTCAAATTGCCCTTGATATCATCACGCGAGTTGGTGGGAGGATTGGAGGCACAAACTTCAGGGGATGGAGTCTTACCCAAAGGACTGGAGGCAGAAACTTCAGGGGATAGAATTTCTGAGCGAACCCAGAACTTTGAATCCAAATCTGACAACTCCAAAATGTTCGGGTCCACATCCTTGAAGAAGGAGCCATGCCCTCCAACCTGGGCAACCTGGGTAGCGGCGCCTCCCTTCATCACCGGCTCGGAAGCTGGCATGGGACTACTGCACTTGGCCTTCGCCCCATCGCTGCGCACGTCAACGTCAACAGAGTCGAGCTCGTAGGGGAGAGTCTCTTGAAGATCATCTCCTAAAGATGGGATTAGGATCTTTGATGGTCACCCTGGCTATCTAATGGTCATCCTGACTATGGAACAAGTGAAAAAAGAAAACGTGAAACATTTCTTGAAGCTCCTGGTGGGTCCAGAGCTGCAGTAGATTTTGCTCTCTGCAAGGTCCGACATGCCAATTCCTTCCTGTGGGGTGTTTGACTGATCAAAAAATCCTAGCTTCCCTCCTACTAGGCCCTAGGCCCCCTCCCAACCAGACAATGCCAAAAGGGTTGTTTCCTCTGAAAGGCCTCCCAAAAACAGAATGCCCCATCTATCACGCTGTCCTCAGGAGCGCAAGACGTGCCAGACGAGCGGCAGTCTCTTCAGCAGGCGCGGTGGGACTTGGCTTCGTGCTGGAGCTTGCCATGAGGCGATTTTCAGTGGGAAGGTTCTCAACACTACGGGTTTCAACACTGACCTGCTGCGGTGGCGCCAATGGGGCAACATCATCATCACCTTCACCATCTTCATCGCTAGACCAGGCACCCAAGTAAGGATCAAATGGCTCAACAGTTACTGATACCAATGAGGCTTGACCATCAGCACCATGGGGGTCCCCATCTTCAATGGCCAGAAGCGGGGCAGGGTCCCGGGCAGGGTTGCCATCTTCAATCGCAAGCGGGGGATTGCTTGGTGCGGGCGTGGGTGGCAACAAGAGCTGACCCCAGGTAGAATCCAAGATGGACCAAAATCTTTGTAAACAGGACTCCTTGTGTTTGCAAATAATCTTGGTGAACAAATGGACATAAAGTTGTATACAAACAATTAGGGTAGTTAACTTCGGAGGGGAATTGACAAGAATTGGAGTTTGAATGAAGGCCCCCCAAATCCCAATTAGCTAAACTACAAGTACATTGGAAAATGATGCCATGGTTTGAAAAGGATCTCTGGGCCCATCTGCCACCGACCACCTTTGGACACCATGCTGGAACAGCTTTCGGATTCCCCACGTATCTTGGTCCAATTTGCACAAATTGCCGGACAGCTGCATCATGGTATGCACCTGCTTCACCTTTCAGGGAATTGAAGGGAACTAGATTGGTATTCCACTACATGTATACGTATAAGCCCATCAAAATAGACATGAAGTAAACAAACAATTTGTTTGACACCAGGGCCTCCCGTCTCAAAAGTGGGATTGGCAAGATTGTCGGTGAATCTTTTTCATTGCACCAATACTCCGCTACAATCTCAAGCAACCGAACGTTCAGCACCATGTTTTTGACGTATGGTTGGGTGACCAAGTTTTCAGATGCCCAAACGGTAAGCTGACCAAAGGTTCTCATGTTTTCCCTCATCCGCGTGTCGCGCTCCAACATCTGCGCGAGGCTCATGGCTTTTCGGACACCTACCCTGTGACTGCTCGAGTGTGAAGGCTGGAGAATAGAAGTAGGATTGACCAGCAAGACCCTGAAATTTATCATGAAACAGAGTTAAAAAATCACCACCTTCCAAGTGAAAGTTCTCATTCTTGGGGCACGTCGTTTTTTCAAAGCTGGTTTGCACCCACGCACACGAGGAGACAAAAGTTTGGGATCAACTCGGCCCTGGCTCCACTGTTTTGTTGGGCGCCCCCACCATGACATCACAAAGAATTTGAGCTTGCTGGTGGAGAGCCTGGCACCAGGAAATCTTAAGTCCAACTAGGTGTCACAAAATCGAATTGGATAGCATCCTCAGCCCCAAAGGCCCCAAAGAAGAGACATTTTACATTCGACAGCCTCTTTCTTGAGCAACCGCTCTTGACATGAAACGACCTGGCCTTAGGCATCCCTCAGGTGCTCCAAAGTTGCCCGCCCTTGTACCTGCTGGCCCAGGAGTGGTGACCCGTGCTTCAATGGTGAAATGGGTTTCACAACTGCTGCAAAAAATGGAAAAAGTCAGGGGGGCACGGGATGATGTGAGCAAAGAAGGTTCCCACGGCACAGTGGAGATAGCATCTCTTGAGCAAAAGTCATCACTGGCCAAGAAACGATGACCGACGTGAAATTCACAAGAAAATTGATGAAAGTCAAAAATCGCAGTTTCATTTAAAAATCGCAGTTTGGATCAAAAACATTGTTTTTTATGAAACAACATTTTTTTGCACCATAGGAAGTTCCAGGTATACATATACATTTGCATATACATATGCATATTATTTCATATGATTTTATACGAGAAATAATTCTGCCTGAATCGTTGCCAGAAACCTACTGGAAGTGCAATTCAAGTCTGTGTTTTGTGCCAGAAACATTGTGGATCATTGATGTCCCGAGCCCGGCTGAAGCCAGCCATGGGTAAGTTCATGTCATTTCTGGTTTCGTATGGGCCAACGGCGCTGTGAGATGAGGATGCGTTTCTTAGCTGCTTCGGTGGGTCAGTGGAAGTCAAGATACCAGGGAAGGACACCGCTTGATGCATTCAAAGAGTGTGAATTCCTTTGAAAAAAATTGTCCAAACCAAACAATGAATGCAAAATTGAAATTGAAATAAATTGAAACGTACTGAAACCACAGTGTCTCAAAGAGGGAAAAGATGAGTGCAGCAAGCGGCAGCAAAAACATACGTAGCACAGTGCACCCGCATCCCTCGATCCACCAGGATGTGCGCGGACATTTGCGGGTGACTTGTGCTCGGAAAGACACGCCAAAGAGGCCTTTGCTGATTCAGAAGGCACAGAAGGTTTCAGCAACAGGAGACTCGGACATGGTTCGGATTTATCATGTACTTTTGCAAGGGGCCAAAAGAAAACATTCAAGGGAAATCGTGGCATGCAAGAGAGCTGAATTACATATGATAATCGGATGCATGTGGTAGAATCGTTTGACTTGGACGACCTGAGATTCGGCAAAGGAGACAGAGATGGAGCCTTCCAAGAAGTCCTTGACACAACTCTTCGCGAGGCCACTTTTGAGCCACGCAGCTGATGACATTTCGGATTCGCATGGACCTTGACAGGCCGCCACTAAAGAATTCTGCAAATCATTTGGGAAAGGAGCCTTGCCACGTCCACCACAAGGTTACGTTTGGAATGTGCCTGGACCCTTGGCTGGATTAGTTCATTCTATTTTCATCTATTTTCATGTTTTGTTCGTTTTCTAAAGCTGTTCCTCCAAATAACCAGTCTGGCCAGTCTCCTCTGTTGTCTCCTCTCCCAGGACCAGATGGACCAGGAGTACTTCGAGTTGAGCAAGATGACGGTGATCAGCTTCGATTTTTCGTTGGTGAAGTAGAGCACCTTTGCTGCAGGAAGGCCTGCTGGTCAGACTCCAACCACGTTGAAACACGTTGAAACCATTTCAAAGCCATTCCCAGGTGGCTCAAGATGGCTCAAGCAATCTTAAACATCTTAAAGAGTCCTGGAAGGAGTCCCTGAGGTTACAACCCTTCGATGCCGGCCCAATCTTGTGGAAGTGCATTCCGCAGCCCCAACTTTGCAGCAAAGCAGCTGCTTGGCACTGAAGCCTCGTTCGTTCACACATGTTTTTTTTTGCCATGTGAAAAAGAAGGCAGGGACAACCTGAGCATACTCGATTCTATTTCAATCCCCCTCGTTTGATCTCGAATGAGGATGAAGACCCCAAGGAGCGCAAAGTGGTGCAGAAGGCCCTCTACCTGCAACCCGCTCAGCAAGTGGATTTGCTGCAAGAGCTGCAAGGCTGGAAATAAAGCAGAACTGAATTAAAGTTAAGCACATTGAAAAATACATGAGAAAAGGGTCAAGAAATGTCAAGAATAAGAAACATGAGGACAGTGATTGAAAGCTTGCACAATCATCATTTTATCATCAGCCACAAGATGTGGAGATCGTGGATTGTCTATGCTTTCAGGCAGGTCTCAACGGACTGCTGGTGTCCTTTCGTGGCTTGAGGACCTCAAAGTAACTCAACAATCTTGAATCGAACAATCCATGTTCGTAGAGCTGCTCAGTTCAGTAAACCTATATGGTTCATGTACATCAACAGTAGCGTTTGCTAGCCCATGGCAATTATGTCAGCGAAGAGATCTCAGATTATGTGAGAGGATGCCAAGAAGAGCGGCATCGCTGCTTGCATATGGCAAGAGGCGGGGCGGGTGAGTTGATTGGAGTTTGGAACCACTTGGAACCACGAGATCGCACGGGTCACGTTAGATAACGTTAATTTAATATATATATATAATTATATATATGTATATAACCAAAGATGACAGACGATGAGATCGCAACTTGAAGCAGTTCTCAGGCCTATGCTAGACTGGTCCTGGAAGAGGAACACGAAGGTCATCCATGTGGCTTGGAAGCACATGGAGCACCGTCAGCTATTTGGCTGTATGTCCTGCGAGTCCAGGTTTGACGCTATCGGCAAGTCATCCTTATGCAGGCAAGGCTTTCATTCAAGGCATCAGTGCATATCGTCGATAGGCCATTCGCTCATGTGATTCCCGCATCAACATTTTCTGTTTGGTTCTGTTGGCAGCGAAAGAACAGGTACACTGTACCGCATCGTGCTTCTCCTCGCATTCCTTTATCCCTCAGTGCTGGCAACTTGACCAAACATGTGCAACCATTTCCCTGAACAAACTGAAGCAACATACGCAACAGTTCAATATGTTCAATGTTCTGGCCGGGCGAACAAGGTCCCAACTCGCTCTGAACTGGCCTTTCGAATCTTCCGGGAGAGCAAGGTCTGAATTTTTAAGACCCAAAGTTCTGCCAAGAGCCTTGCAGCTCAAGTCGCTCAAAATCCTCAAAGTCAAGTCAAGATTTGAGAGACTCCCAGTAAGAGCTGCCAAGCCTGCTACGCTGGCGCAGGTTCAAGGTTGCTTGCACCAACACTTGAAGAATGTTCCTTGGCAAAAAAGGGAGATCATTTATATTGATATCGTGTCAGCTGAAATGTAGGAGGGAGTTATCACAAGAGAAAGAACTGTTCTGGATTCGGCTGTCACTGGAAGGCTTTGAAAATATTGGCCTTCAACCAGCAGTCTTCTGTGCGAGCGGGGGCTTTTCAGGCAGGTGACATGTTTCCCTTGAGTTTCGCTGATAAATCAAATCATGGTCAACAGGGCTGAATGTTGATCATCCGCTTTGAGGGACTACTATTTTAAGGATTACATTCTTTGTCATTTCAAAACTCTTGCAACTTGCCAAGTGGGTCCACTGCATGGTTCAATCTGGACAGCCATCAACAGTTTACAGTATGACTCCTGGTCTTCCCTGCTGTGACACACGGGGAAGTGTTGCACCGAGCGGACAGCAGGGGAAGGTGATCACACCGCTCTTCACCTATCAGACAGAAGCAGTACAAAGATTGTTGCAGTCCCGGCACAATGGAGCGATCCTCGTCCAATATTTAACTTGTCCCGCAAGAAAAGAGTGTAGTTTTGAAGTAGCTTGCGGAGGATGGGAGAAATCTGAGACGCGTGATGCCGCGTGATAGTGAAATTGTTTGACGGCATGGAGGTTGTTTCCCTTCGGACACCTGTTGTTCTGCATGGGTGTTCCAAGGGCTGGATCATTGGATGCCTCGTCTCTGGGTGCTGGCAAGACGTTGGTAGCCATTAGCAGCTCAGCTTTGGAGAGTAGTCATTATTGTGTTACCCGTATTTACCCGACTTTGGTGGGGTTGGGGGGCCATAAGTTCAATTGACTGACATGAAGCGGGGAGCCAGAAATTTGATTGATTGAGAAGAAGTCCGCTGCACTGTGGCAAGGACAATGTGACTAATGTGACATTTGTTCATGTTTTTTCCACCCGGTGAGGCTTTTGCATGTTCCTTGCAGCTCAACACTCGGGTGGCGAGTTCTTGGTCCTGGTTCCATCCAGCTCGTTGATGGATGGGTGGCGCCAGCAGATCGAGCAACACACTGAAGGCAGAGAAATTTCTGTTCAAAGCGGTGCTAACAGCGGCAGCATTCGATCGCGTGTTTGCCCTGTCCAGCTCAAGCTGGCCAGGAGTTAGAGTGCAAATGCAGCAGGAGAATGGTGTCCTGCGAGAAGTCCGATCCCGAATTGCTACAGAAGTGTATAGAAGTGTGGGATATTGATGGATATTGCCTGATATTGCAGAAGTGTTGGTGCTGTTTTGACTGAGTATCGAGAGATCACTGCTGTGGTTCACTGTGTCATCGCGTTGCGAATCGATACGAATTGTGTGAAGAGATGCCCAGGGGGTGCAGCGAAAGTCACCGAACCAGACTTCACCACTTCGCCGAAAGCGCCCGGCCACCGCCACGTGGCAGCCATAGGGTTATATAGGGTTTACTCGCAGCGTTCGCATCACAAATCATGACGTGGAATGACTGTCCTGATAACATCGCTTCTTACCTATTCTTACCCTGTGCTTGCGTCACTGTTACAGATTGGAGTGAAGGCTTAGCACAAAGGTAGCACAAAGGACTTCAGGAGAATTTCATAGAGACAGAGATCCAATATGTCAGTCAGTCAGTCAGTCAGTGGAGAAAAAGCAACATATCGTGACACATAGATACACATAGCCCATCCCGTCCAATAGCTGCGTTTGCTTTTGTAGCTGTGTTGCCAAGTATTGGTTCAACTGTATCCTGGAAAGCCTAGACTGCAGACTGAAAAGCCCACCAGAACGAAATTTGGTTCTTTCTCGTGCGCGGATGTGATGATACGTTGAGCCGAGTGTGAACAGACAGTGAAGAAATCTTGACTGGCCTCGTTTTGTAGGTGCCAAGGTCAAACACGTTAAAAGATCATCTGAAATCAACAGATCAACACTCCGAAACATTTGTTGCTGTTGTTTGTGGAAGCAGAGGGACATCCGGACACATCCAGACACATCCGGACACATCGTGGACCTTCCAAGCCATGTGGCCCATGTGGCCCATGTGGTCTCCACGAGTTGTTCCGAAGCTCCGGCGCTTCCAAGCTCGCATGAAGAGCGGAGGCGAAGTCAAGCTTTTCTCAGAGCTTTTGTAAGAGTGAAAGCACTGAAATACATTGAATAATACAAATACTGTAAATAAATAAATAAATTTATATAAATTGAACATTTGAACAACAATTGACTTTCCATCTCTTTCCGCATTTTTGGTGCCCGGCTGACCGCAGGCAAGAACCGTTTCAACATGGTGCGCCAACGGGCCGCATATCAACACGTGTTGATCTCAGTGAGCCAATTCGGTGTCCAGTGGTTGGGATTCTCTTCAGGAGCGTTGGCTCTGATATGGATTGATGATTGATCCAGCATTTGGATGTATTTGACTGCATTTGGATGTTCGTAGATTTGCTATAACTACCTATGATATCCTATGATTATGTGTGATTATGCATGTGTAATTATAGCAATTACCTATAATGACCTATGATATCCTATTATTATGCATGTATACATTTGAATCTGATATACTTTCATTGCAGATTTGTGATTCTGCAACCAGGTGGACTACGTTCGACAGCTGGAGCCGCCACGGCCTTACCGCTCAGCTGAAGTCGACCCAGGACTGTGGAGCTCCAAAGAAGAGATCCGTGCCATGGCAAGACTGGATACATCTGCGGATACATTATTGATTATGGATAGTTATGTTATGGATAATTAAAGGACCGGATAACCCCACATGTTACCAACTTCTTTAGACTTAGACTGACCATAGAAGAGCAAGAAGGGAAGAGGAAGTATAAGAGTGATGGAGCGGTGATGGGGGGTGAGTTTGTGTGTATGTATGTATGTTCATGTACAGTGAGTGAGTGAGAGTGTGAGTGAGTGATGCGAGTGTGGTGTGTGTGAGTGAGGGATGTGAGAGTGAGTGAAGTGAGTGGAGTGGAGTGGAGTGGAGTGGAGTGGAGTGAAGTGAAGTGAAGTGAAGTGAAGTGAGTGAGTGGGTGAATGAGTGAGTGCGGTAGGTGAGGTAGGTGAGGTAGGTGGTGAGGTAGGTGAGGTAGGTGAGGTAGGTGAGGTAGGTGAGGTAGGTGAGGTAGGTGAGTTAGGTGAGGTAGGTGAGGTAGGTGAGTGAGTGAGTGAGTGAGTGAGTGAGTGAATGTGAGTGAATGTGAGTGAGTGTGAGTGAGTGTGAGTGAGTGTGAGTGAATGTGAGTGAGTGTGAGTGAGTGTGAGTGAGTGTGAGTGAGTGTGAAGCCTCCCATTAACGTCCCCACCACCGGCCAACGTGGTGTCGGCTCGACCGAAGCCGAACCGTTTGGTAAGGACGAAGGCATCGACCTCAGTGAAGAAACAGACTTAGACGGAGCACAGAAAGCGAGAAGGGAAGAGGAAGCATAAGAGTGATGGAGGGACGATGGTGGTATGTATGTAGGTAGGTAGGTAGGTAGGTAGGTAGGTAGGTAGGTATTTAGGTATCTATGTATGTATGTACGTAGGGTAAGTTGTTTGTGAGTAAGTTGCTTCGCTTTCATCGAGCTCCACCAGGCTCTGATGTTTTTTTTCCGACACACTATCAAAACGATGGTGTGCTCACCATACTTCCGCTGACCAAAGTAATGTTCTGCACTCTTTCGAGCGCAGCCGCACATTTTGTGATCTCTTTCTGCATGCCCTATGGCTGGTAAACATCGCTGGGACATGATGAAGATGATGATGATGATGATGATGGTGATGATGATGATGATGAAGATGATGTATGTGAGTGAGTGAGTGAGTGAGTGAGTGAGGGAGTGAAGTGAAGTGAAGTGAAGTGAAGTGAAGTGAAGTGAAGTGAAGTGAAGTGAAGTGAAGTGAAGTGAAGTGAAGTGAAGTGAAGTGAAGTGAGTGAGTGGGTGAGCGAGGGAGCGAGGGAGCGAGGGAGCGAGGGAGCGAGGGAGCGAGGGAGCGAGGGAGCGAGTGAGTGAGTGAGTGAGTGAGTGAGTGAGTGAGTGAGTGAGTGAGTGAGTGAGTGAGTGAGTGGGTGAGTGAGTGAGTGAGTGAGTGAGTGAGTGAGTGAGTGAGTGAGTGAGTGAGTGAGTGAGTGAGTGAGTGAGTGAGTGAGTGAGTGAGTGAGTGAGTGAGTGAGTGAGTGAGTGAGTGAGTGAGTGAGTGAGTGAGTGAGTGATGGAGTGAGTGAGTGAGTGAGTGAGTGAGTGAGTCAGTGAGTCAGTGAGTCAGTCACTCAGTCAGTCAGTCAGTCAGTGAGTGAGTGAGGGCGTACATCCAACCCCTTTGGCCGATTGTCCCACGCCTGCCACGCAAAAGAGGCGGAGACCCAGGGACGCCAGCGGAACCCCGGGGCGTACATCCGACCCCTTGACAGTGCACATTGTCCCACGCCTGCCACGCAAAAGAGGCGGAGACCCAGGGACGCCAGCACATTGTCCCAGGCCTGCCACGCAAAAGAGGCGGAGACCCAGGGACGCCAGCGGAACGTACATCCGACCCCTTGACAGTGCACATTGTCCCACGCCTGCCACGCAAAAGAGGCGGAGACCCAGGGACGCCAGCGGAACCCCGGGGCGTACATCCGACCCCTTGGCAGTGCACATTGTCCCACGCCTGCCACGCAAAAGAGGCGGAGACCCAGGGACGCCAGCGGAACCCCAGGGCGTACATCCGACCCCTTGACAGTGCACATTGTCCCACGCCTGCCACGCAAAAGAGGCGGAGACCCAGGGACGCCAGCGGAACCCCGGGGCGTACATCCGACACCTTGACAGTGCACATTGTCCCACGCCTGCCACGCAAAAGAGGCGGAGACCCAGGGACGCCAGCGGAACCCCGGGGCGTACATCCGACCCCTTGGCAG